TCTTTGCCCGTCCCTTAGCCTTCCCCATGGTGCTTGTGTGCGTGTTTTGTGTTGTTCGGGTTGCCGTGTGTGCAGTTGTTGGGCACCGCGTGCGCCCAGGAAAAAAAAAAGTCACCGCATGGCGCGGAACAACAACAACGCGAATATCTCGAGAACCAGATTTTTCCCAGCAAAACCAAGAAATTCCCACCTGGGGATGGTCGAGAGAAATCGTTTGCCGCACTCTATTTTGAAATCGGTCGGTTAGTTATTGCATATAAAACAAAACAAGTTGACCCTTGAAATCAAGTTTTCCCTGTATATCTCCGTCAATTTCGAATATTTCAAAAAATAAATAAATCCCACCTGGCAAATTCCGAGATCTGTCCAAAACCGTTGAGTTTGGTGGCATCAACAAACAACACACCTCTCGAAAAACAAAACAAGATTTTCCGGTTTATCGGAGATAAAAAGTCAAGGAAATAAAAAAAACTCTCCGTCACGCGATGCGCCTGTAAACAGGGCGTTTTCCGGTATTTTCAGAATTCCGAACAACCACCTGTGTGCAGAGAAAAGTTGTCATTTGTGCTGGGAAATTTTGGGATTTTTACCTGTGCACGGACCATACGATTTTTTCTTTCGTGGTGCTGTTGCTGTGTTGTTTTTTTGCACGAGAAGCATTGCTGTGGCTCTCTATTGACCATTTTTGGCCGCCGCCTTTTGCCGGCTCTTGACGATGTTAATCAACGTCCACAAGTAGCGGTGATGAATTTCCCTCTGGTCAACCGGTGCTTATAGGACACACAGACACGCGCACACATGAATCTTTATTACAGGGTCTCAGTTAGTAGCATCCAGAGGTGTTTAGTGTTTTCAACCGCACCGAGACTGGCGTCTTTTTCGTTGGTCAGCCGGTTAGCGCGGTCGATGCAGACATGAAGACACGCATATATTTGATGCACTCGCGGCTGCTTCACAAACTCAGACCACTTTCCACATACGTTTGTTGTGTATCCCTATCTTCCGTGTTCCCTCGTGCAAATGCCACCCTCCAGACGCGGTGAGAAAGCCCGCAAGTTCTCTCCGAAGAGGTCATGGACACCCATGGAGACCGAGATCGTGCAAAAGTGGGTCAACAACCAGTGGCTCATGATGGTGGAGGGGCTGGACGACCTCTATTGGATGTACGCCACGGTGAGAAGAGAACCCTTGTTTTCGTTGTCATTGCTGTTGTCGTTGTCGTTGTCGTTGTTGCTGCTGTTGTTGTTGTTGTTGTTGTTGTTGTTGTTGTTGTTGGTTGCTGATTCTTGGGTTGTCATTTTCCTTGTCGGCTGTGGGTGTGGTTTAGAGTGTTGGTGTTGTGATGTTGTTGCTGTCGTCGTCGTGACTGCTACTACTGCGGCTGCTGCTGCTGCTGCTGCTGTTGCCGTTACAGTCATCGAACCGAGGTTGCCGCCTCTGCCCACCCGACCAATGTCCCACGACGCTCGCCTCGCCTTGTTGTCCCCGTCGTTCTCCGCCGTTTGGGGCTCCCAGGTTGCCCGCGATGACGTCAACACGCTGGTGGTGACGAACGACCTGATGCGCGACCACCGAAACTTCTTTCCGGGAACTCGAGAGTTCGTCCGGTGGAAGCGCAGCCACCTCGTGTCCTTCTCCTTCCGCTGGGAGAAAGACGGGTAAGAGCCGTTTCATAACACGTTGTTGTTGTTGTTGTTGCTGTGCTATCGAGGCCGATTCGGAACGATTTCATTCGTGACGTCTCTTGCCTTTAGTTTTCGCCCGGGTTGTGAATTTCTTGTTAATTCCTCTTTGCGAACCTCAACATGACCTTGCGGCAAAATTGTTGTTAATTGTTTTGCCGCTGACAGGCCTCACGCATGGGTGGAGGGCATGCAGCCGAAGGAGTCCCGAACCCCTCCGGCGATCAATCTTTCTCCCGGAGCTTCGTGGAAGGAGGTGCAGAGAGCGGGCTCAAACTGGCATCTGCCAGTTCGAGTGAGGTGAGCAAAAACGCTTAAAGGGGGATTGACGCCGTATTTTTTGCTTGGTGCGCTTGGGGACGATGGATGTAGACACGCGAGGAAGGTGGGACGCGGTAATTATGGTTGGTCCTCGTCGTTTCGGTGTGCCCCGTTCTGCATCTGCGTCAGCCTCGGAAGCGCGATCTCGCATGATTTTGTTTGTTGTGGGATGTTTTTTTTTTTTAGAATGTGATACTTTCCCACAAGAAATACCGGTTACTCTGCTATCAGCACTCGGGCCTGCATGCATGCCTACTTTTTTCGTATGGGTGCGTGATTGTTGAATGAATGAATGAATGAATTAATGTCTCGTGTTGACGATATCGATCGCGCCTTCCTCTCATTTCATGTCTCTTCATGGGCATCTTTCTTTTGCCCAGTAGCCTACGCACGTTGTATCTAAGCAAACATATTGGATACAGTATGAAATCGGTGGGGTTGGGATCTACGTATCCCCTCCCTCTCTATTTCATAGATAAAAATTATTTTCCTGGCATGGGCAGCCCCTTTTGCCTGACCCGTCGCTCTCTCCGTTGTCGTTGCGGTGGTCGTTTCTTGCTTGCCCTTTCTTCCGCTTGATGAAACAAACCAGGCGAAATTCCAAGAAGCACAACTACGACAAAAATAGCAACGGCGATGACGGCATGCCCAACCATGCCGAGCCGATCAAAAGCTGTCTGTGTATCCCGATGCCAACGTCGATGACACGGGCCTCCAATCCTTCCCCCTCGAGCTCGTCGACGTACTCACGCACGAAGAAGCCATCGTTGTTGCCGACGGGCGATGGGGGAATAGAGCAGAGAGAGGAGGAAGGGGATCGATATCGCCGAACCATCAACACGGCGTAGTTGCCATGCATGCGTACGATGACATGGCGCGGGTGGGTTCGGAGTGTTGGAAGAATTCGTGTGTGGGCGAACAATACTGATGCGGGCGTCTGGCGAACACAATGCTTTTTCATGGGGTGGGATTTGTGCCGCATGAACTTTCCGAGGCGATTCCAGTCCCATCCCGTTGCCGTCGTTGTCGCCGGGACGGTTCGAAGGGGGGTTAGGTTTCCCGTCCTTGACCTCCAAACGGGTGCGTCTTGAGTGGAGAAGCCCGTTGGAGGGTAGAGTTAGCTCAATATATTGTCCTCGTTGCTATCCGTGGACGGCGCTAAAACACGATTCTCTGGTCTGGCCTTGAAAATAGTTTTGAGAGTGGCACCGCTAGAAACCGTCGCCCCCTTGATGCCGGAAGTCGTATGTAAAGTTGTACAGTAGTGATGCGAGAAACGTTGTCGAAGGACTTGCTGGTCCTTTCTGTAGTTGGAAGTTGAGACCTGCGTCGCAGACAGACCCTTCTGTGAGGCCCAGGATGCGACAGATGTGATAAGTAGGATCGCACGGTTGTTAGCCGGGATCATGATGGGATAAAGAAAACGATGTGAAAATCAACGGGAACCCTTGTACTTGTAGTGCAGGATATGTAGCGAAGCCAAGCCAACCATAGTAATGATTGAACCAAATTCATAGATGTAATTCGGCTCGCCGCCTGTCTGTCTAGTGTGCCTCTTCCCACGTCCTACAGCACGGGTGTTCCGCATGAAAGAGGTGTCTCCCGTGAAGCCGATAACACACACATCCTTGCCCATTTCATTCGAGAAACTTGTCCGAAAATTCTTAAAGGAGTCGTGTATGCATGCTGCCACTGCACACAGATGTACCCCTCTGAGAATGGCAAAAACGAAGCAAATCAGTAACGGCGGTTACACATCTTGAAGTCCGTTATTTCTTCACAAGTCGCCCTGGGTTTTCTTCTCCCGAGGTGACCCAACACCATACCATTTATTCCTCATTCACTGATCCACCAAGTGCCCCGCTCGGTGCCGGCGAGGTGTCGACCTGGAGGCGAGTCCATGCACCCAACGCACAAGCATGGCGTACCCTGTGAGTCCCCTGCGAACTGTCAAGTTTGGCGCTGTCCGATGCGTATCTGTTTGGTTCCTGTCGGAGCAACAAAATTTGTAGTGCCTGTCTTGTTGGAGTGAACCTTTGCGTCCGTTGTACGTCCTGTCCTCACACAGGGTAGGAGTAGTCAAACGTGCTTGCTTGGGCGTCTCGATATGCATGCGCCCGCTGCTACCACATGATACGAGTGCCACTTTTCGACGCTGAGGCTTTCTGAGGACTGGGGAAGGCCTCGCTTGCACATGGTCTGTGCAGCACCGCCGACTCACACGCCTTCTCGGCCGCGGGTAATTTTTCGCCATGAGATGGGTCTGCGAAGCTAATGCGAAGAAGTTTTTGTAGTTAGGCTTCTGTGAGGCGGTTGCAGGCAAAGTAGAAGAGTCCAGCAAGCGGTCGTACGTGATCTCCGACCTAGCACGATACACGATACGCTCCGCATCGTGTCCGGTTTCGTTTCGGATCAATGTAAGGTTCGTGTTGATTACGCCGCATTCTCTGTATCGGGCCCCGTCTCGCTCAGGTTTTAGACTTCGTTCGTGAACGTGCCATCTCTGCAGCAGGTTTTGTCTCGAGGAACCAGAGCACTTCATTTGACTCGGTCCATGAACCCGACTGACTGCTGTGTTCTCCTGGCAAAAACCCAAATTTCAAGTACGGGGCCTCCACTGCCGGCCTACCCACCGTTCCACGTCATCCACACATATTCTGCGGCTCCCCTTTTTGTCATAGGCACTACTACCACACCTGCCTCAACCCCACGGGGCTGTATTTGTCGACATCAATCAGTCTATTGCTCCCCACCACCGGGAGCTCTTCTACCATCCGGTATGACGTTCTTCGTTGGGGATCTGGTGGTTTCTGTCTCCGGGTGCTGCATCGATGAGGTAGGCGAGCGACCAGATGCCAACACACATCAAGCGATATACCAGTAACCCCGGTCGCTTGGTGCGGATAATTCCGTCCGACGAGACCCTCGTTCACGCAGCCATCGGGTCGTCGCCAGATAATGCCCACACTTGAAAGGGTAGGGTTGACGTAAATTGATGAATGCCGTCATGTTAGCTGGCGCATTTGCTGACAATTGACGCGTGGATACATGATCGCTCATGGTTGGAGAGCCTCGAACTTGCGCCCTTGAAAGAGGCTACAGATAGTATGTTGGAGAGTATGTAGTGCTTGACCAAACACCATCCGCTTCGCGCCATCGACGGGTGAGTTGACGATGTGGGCTCCCGTCTTTCGATTTCCCAGTTTGTTGGAAACGCGAATGGACGCCATATGTGGGAAGTTGGGACCATGGGACCTGTCATCCCAGTGCCTGAGCGACGAAGCTGCAGGCATTCCTGCTACCGCGAGAGGTCTGCTGCTTGTAGCTCGGAACACAGGGTTCAAGCGAGTTCTGCTGTAGCTTGGGTCGCGAAACGGTGGCTCTAGACAATCGAGATATGGAGACAGCGCTAATGATGCAAAAGGGGCAGATGTGGATGAGCCTAAGCTGCACAAAAGCCAAAGCTCCACATTGGTGCGGTCGCCAATTTTGATTTTTGTTGCAGATGCGACAGCAGGTGATATTCTGCCTTCTGAAACGAGACAGGTTCTGCCCTATCCTTTACGAGCATCGACGGTGGCTCCCCGTGAGCCTCTGCAGGTGCTGGGGATCAAAGATCGTGTCCACGATCCTGGCGGCCTTGGGAAGGGCTCCCACGTTCTGACCTTTGGGAGATGTAACTTACCCCCTCGCTTGTGTTTTCGTTTGCACCGTCGGCGCAGAACGCAGGCCCGTTGCTGAACCCCTGCGTGGAGCTCTCCGTGGGCAACAAGCTGCACAGCACACGCCTCCCGGTGAGGGTTACGGTACAGCAGTGAGAGCCCGTCTTTGTTGCATGAGCAGCAAAAACCATCGATTAGATGTGCTTGGAAAGGCCTTGAAAGCGGGTGTTTAGGACGGATTACTTATTTTCTTCGAAGGGGGGGATGAGCATGTTGTTGGCCTCGCTGTTGTGTGGTGGTTTGAACGGTGTGAGCATAGTGGAGGAAGTCGCCTCCATTTTGGTATCAATTTGCCTTCATGGTTAGTTAGCCTGCGAAGTCTTGGTGTTTGTTGCCTTCTGCTCTCACCGTTTCCAAGGCCTTCGGCCTATCATCGTTTTTGGTACATACAGGTTGGTAAACCTTGGTGCTGCGTTTTGTTGTTGTTCGATAGTATTGGCATGACTTCTCGGACTTGGGCAATCGTTCATACCTGATGTGGGTGTGATCGTCTCTGACCCGGGAACGCTTGTCTTTTGTTTACCCCGGGCTACGGGTGACACTCGATAGACAAGGGTTTAGAGCCTCTTTGAAAACCATACATCGCAACAGCGGCAACAACGGTGGGCATGCCTTCACTTCTCTGTGGCGTGTGGCTGGTTGTTCTTGCTTGGCGATCGCTTCTCCTAGGTGGAATCACGCGGTGGCACTGTCGGGGAGGGGGAGGGGGCCAGCAGGAAGAGGAGGAGCTCCGCCGTAGCGTTTCACGGTGTGACGGAACGGTGAGCAGCGGGGCCACAGCAGCCTGTCGGGCACGAGCGTGTTCACCTGGTTCTCCGAACTCAGGTGTCGCAAGAGCGAAAGAGATGTAACAAGAGGCACACAGTGGGAGACAAGAGGCTCACGAAAATATATGCAGTAGCGGGGTAGGAGAGCGACGGGGAGGAACGGGGACGAAGAGACAGATTTCGCGAGTACTGTAAATCCGGAAACTATAACCTGTCATCAGATCCCGTCTTCCTCGGCCCTCCTGTCGGGGGAGCTCGCGGACTAGAAATCGTGGTGGCGTTTGTTGCACTGTTCTAGACTGCCTTCTGTCGCTGGTCGGCTGGTTCGCGAGATGGACGTTACTCAGCAAAGCACACCCAGACAGAGAGATGCTTCGAGGCCGGTCGCCACACTGCACCGTGCGGAAGAAACGAATGGTCTGCGTCGAAACACCTCTGTGCGTACGCGTGGGGACGCTACGCGGTGTCGGTCGATCTTTGTCTTCACACGAAAGGGAACCGACGGTTTCACTTGGGACGTCGGAGTGAAGCCGTCTGCTTGATCTCCCCCACATCGAATTCATACACGCCCAGTAGTCGAAAATGTAGGGCGGAACCTGCCCACGGAAGGTGATATGTACTTTAAGATGTTCAACGTCGGACGGCTCGGGTTTGTTGGACTTTTGTGTTTGTTCTGCAGAACTCATGGGGTGGTGGATTGTTACGTACATGAGCGGTTCCGGAAGTTATTTTTTCGTACTACAAATGCAGCGCGCAATTATTGAAGCAGCGATTTTTCTCTATGTCAGCCTCCAACTAGAGTAGAAAAGGTTTTTGTTGGGGGCATTTCCCTACCCAGGATTCCCCCGGCCCACCTTGGTGATTGTTCTTTTACTCGCGCGCATGTTGCCGATTGTCTCCGTCTGTATGCCCAGTCTCAATCGTTTGCAGCTGCCCTCAAACCCCGCCCGATGCTCCGTCCTCTCGAGGACGCGTGCTCAAATCTCTGACCACTAGGGTATGCAAAACAGGAGTACGCCCTCCCCCGCTCGTCCTGTACATACGACCAGAGCTGCACTGTTTGGACT